TTTATTAATTTTCAACATTATATTCGCGTCAGAGTAGGTATTACAGATAACACTAAATTATGAAAATAAAAGTTAAAACAGTAATAATTTCATAATGTATTATTTTCTGATTTATATTTTGTAAACACCAAGTAGATGAAAGATAGTATAGCAGAAAACGGTAAAGGGTTAACACATGCCATTTGTCACATGGTACATAGATATTGGAAATAAATAGAAGCCTTGAAATATTAAAATATTATATAAATATGCGTAAATTTAAAATGTAAATTGTATCTGAAAAGCAGTAGTGTAAACAATATTTAAATATATTAGTTATGGTTCATCATAAATATATCGACATGAATAATTCCAACAGTTTTTTTAATTAGGTGCTTATATAAAATTTCGACATGAAAATGCGGTATGGATACAATATGAACCAAAATCAAATTAAACTTAGTCCTGTAAACGTGACTAGACAATCAATATGATGGACAATAATCCTATACAAAAAAATTGTATTATTGTAATCTTCTAATTTATATAAAAATCTCGTGTCAAGGTGTTTGTGGTTGTACTCCTCAGAAACGGGTCGACCGATTTGAATGGAATTTTTGAAGTATAATAATTGGTAGGTATGAAAATAGGTCGTTAAGTATTTTTCAACCTCCTAGATCTAACCCGGGTAGGTCCTCAAACGAGGATTTTTAGATTTAAGGAAGAAATGTTTGTTTATAAATGGTTGCTATTGGTAATAGGAGAAATATTTAGTAGAAATTAGTATTTAATATTTATTATATTTTGGTTGCCATGCCATTAGTTAATCGGACAGATCAGGTGCAAGCATGCATCAAATCAAATTTTCACACATTGCCTACTTGATATGTATCACACATTATCCGCGATCCGACGTAGTCGGATTCCCTACAAGGGAGGCTATTACACCCAAAAGAAGTTGAACAATCACAATTCTTTTAAAAGTTGTATTTTTTTACGAGCAAAGAATTGCGCGGGATAAGTTAGTAATATGTATAATATATACTATACATATATGTTGGGTACACAGTCGGCATATCAAATTTCGCGCGGTCGTGGTTGATACGCGTATGTCGCAATGTTGTCACCCTGCCGCCCCGCCGCCGAGTAGTGTGGCAGCCCATGTGGCAGCGAACTTTGTACCCCCGGAGAGGGGACGGTATCGTTGCGGTATAGTCGCTGCTGGCTGTACCCGCCGCCATATTTTCGTCGTTTTGGAGCCGTCTAGGCGATCGGTCATGTTTTTGAGTCGTCGTGCACATCCGCATTGTTTTACCGTCGCGAACCGGTGCTCCGTCGCCGTCATTACCGTCTTGTTCCGAGCCGTCGATGCTCTCGTGTTGCACCGTGCGTCGTCCCCACGATTTTTGTATCGTCTCGACCTCTCGTGTCGCGATACGGTTGTTTTGTTTTTTCGTCGCCCGTCCGATTCTCGCTGTGCGACCCCGACCGCGTGTTACCCTCGTTACCCACGTGTTTGTCGTTCGAGCCGCCCGTGCTCTTTGTCATGTCACGCCGTGCGTAGTGTCGACATTTTGGATTGCTCGACCGCCTGTGTCGTGATCCAACACAACTTTGTGTATTTTCGTCGCTCGCCCGACTCGCTGTGCGTTTCGAGCCCTGCTCGACTCTCACCCACGTGTTCCGCCCGCCCGTCCTACGCAGTGCGAACCGTGTTTTAAGTAACTTGTTGTCGTTTGTGCCGCGTCCCTACGCCGCGACAATTGATGTTTTTCGCGTGACCGTTTCGAAGTCTCCCCTTGAGCAGAAAAAACGAGTTCGTGTCCGCGTCGCCCAATATTTGGTTTATACATCCGCTTCAACCGTTCGACCACCGGTCGTACGTTCGCAGTGTCGTCGACCTATTCGTCGACGTCGACGAGAGTGCAAAGTGCCGCCAGCCCCGATTGCCGCCCGCAGCTACTACAACGTCGCATTGGGTCAACTGGAGCGTCATCGTCGTGGTATCATCACCCGTCGTTATCACTTATCAGGTCGTACACACGTGATTTATTTGTCAACAAACATCACCTTTGTATTTGTAATTTGTATTAATTTTTTTTTTCTCTTGATTTATTGTTTACGCGATCGTTTGTGATCGCGCACTACTGTTACCTACTAACCCTAGCTTAAGTAACGTTTACTGCAGGACATTACAATAAATTGTTCTGTACACCTTATAGCAAAAAAAACATTGTTGTCTGTTAGAGTTACCTTATACTCATCATCATATTATTTTCAACCAGCTTCCTATTCATCATATTCTAAATACAGTCCACTTTTTATCCCTTCCCACAGGGCTATCGACCTAGGACGTAAGTATCGTCAAACAGAACGGGTTGCGTGTCGGCCGCCGTCCGTGCGCGCACTCACACACACGCACACTCGTCACCGGCTTTACGTGTGCAGCCATCATCCGCACATTGTTTGGTCCTTCGGGCCGGATGTTTCTGTGCGACTACTTCGTCACAATCATACGTCAATTTTGTAATTTCACCTGATCTCGTATTTCTGTCGTCATGGCACCGAAAAAAGAAGAAACTGCTGAAAACGCTCTCGCTCGAGCACGTGTCAAACGCGACAACGTTTTAAACTCCATCAAAGGTATTCACGTCACAGCTTTAGCCGCACGCTCTGATGCCGATCGAGTGCCGTCGTTAATTATTCACGCCGAAGATTTAAATCAATATGTCGAACAATTTCAACGTCAACAAGACGTTATAATTAACGCGTTAATCGATCTTGACCGTGTGGCCGAGTTTGATCAGGATGATCGTCCAATGATCGCATCTATGGAGACTATGCGTCTCGAAATTAAAACTGTCGTCGCGAGTGTGTCCGAAATAAAATCGTCGTCTTCGTCGTCTATCGCGTCCGCGCCTCAACAATTCGTTCCGTTACCGAAAATTCAGCTGCCCAGCTTCGACGGTAATCTATTGGAGTGGCGATCGTTCCGCGATATTTACGTTTCTCTCGTACATGACAACACCGGCATTGGCGATGCCGAACGGTTTCACTATCTAATGTCGTGTTTATCGGGCGACGCTCTCGCTGTTGTCAAGTCATTTCCGTTATCCGCGAATAATTATGTCCTCGCGTGGGAAGCATTGTCCGTTCGGTTTGATAATAAGCGCCTGCTAGCGTCGGCACACTTAGATAAGTTATTTGCATTCAAACCTATTGCACACCAGTCGCTACCAGCCTTGACGTCGTTTATCAACACGTTCAAGGAAAATGTAGCCATAATTAAAGCGCTCGGTGTCAACGACCTGTCAAGCTTTTTATTATTTCACATGGGATCCCGAGTTCTCGATCCGACGACGATTCAATTATTCGAATCCAATGCGTCGAATTCGACAATTCCGACGTTCGACGAGTTACTCAGTTTTGTTCAACAACGCTGTCGAGTATTAGAGAACATAAAAAATTCCAGTAAATCTGATATTTCAACGAAACCACACGAAAAATATAATACGCGTAATAAAACTGTTATATCGAAAAAATCAGTGTTTGCCGCCACCACATCTACATCGGTCAAGTCTAAGTCACGAGGTTGTTTGTCATGCGATAAGGCTGACCATAGTATTTACCGTTGTCCAAAGTTCAACGATATGACAGTTGAAAGGCGCCGCGAATTCGTAGCGGCTAGAAAATTATGTTTTTCATGTATGAGTCAGTCTCATATGCTCAACGCGTGTTCATCAACAGGGGTGTGCCGCTCGTGCAGTAGTAAGCGTCACCACTCCTTGCTACATCTTAATACCGATCAGTCATCGGCCGTGAACAAAACTAATCAGAGTACCAGCTCAGGTCCTAGTTCAGGTCCCTCCGCCGACAAGTCAAGTTCCTTTTTAGGTGCAGCATGCACCAACTCCACGGTCGTCCTCGGTACGGCCATAGTTCACATCAAGGACGCCTGGGACCAAATTCATTCCGTTCGAGTACTTCTCGACAGTGGGTCTCAAATTTCGGCCATCTCAAGCGACTGCTTCGCTCGGTTAGGACTATCGAAACGCCGTTTTAAATCCGACGTCGTAGGTCTCGCGCAAAGTCCAGTGAACCACGTGCAAGGTGTCACCAGGTGTCAATTTTCGTCGCGTTTTAAATCTGATTTGTTCCCGTCTGTTGAACTAGTTATTCTAAAACAAATTACCGGCGTCATGCCATCCACACGGTTGCCGACAACCGTGCGTCAACAATATCGACACCTCCGTCTCGCGGACGAGAACTTCGATATTCCGTCGTGCATCGACGTTTTATTCGGCGCCGATATTTTACCTAGTCTTATCCGCTCTCACGCGGGTGTGGAGCACCACTCGGGTTTACCATCGGCCCTCGACACCCAGCTCGGATGGATAATTTTTGGTTCGTTTTCTACTCCGAGCAAGTCACCCCCAGTCACGCTGACCACCGCGATCGCTCCGCCGTCAATTGGAGATCTATTACAACAATTTTGGTTGGTCGAAGAACCCACCGCACCTACGTCACCCACCACGGAAGATCAGTGGTGTGAAGAATATTTTACCAAATCTACTTCGCGGGATTCCACCGGTCGATTCTGTGTCGCTCTACCATTTCGTCATTTGTTTGCGAGCACAGCTCAACAACAAGACACACCGCGTCACGGTCTCGGCGACTCGCGCTCCATCGCGTTGAAACGGTTTTATAACCTAGAAAAACGGTTGGCTAAGGACTCCGAATTGTATGCTGCTTATCGTAAATTCATGTCCACCTACCAAACACTAGGACACATGGTACCGGCTCCGGAACCCGGTAAATATTTTATTCCGCACCACGCCGTGCTCAAGGCTGACGGTGACATGTCCAAAATTCGCGTCGTGTTCGATGCTTCGTCCGCCTCGTCCTCCGGTCGCTCATTAAACGATGTATTGTGCACCGGACCCAAACTTCAAATTGATTTACGCGACATTTTACTTCGTTGCCGTATGCACAGGTACATTTTGTCCGCCGACATCGTCAAAATGTATCGGCAAATTTTAATCCGTCAAAAAGACCGGACTTTTCAACATATATTCTGGCGCGATTCACCCACTGACGACCTCGTCGAATTCCAATTGTGTACTGTAACGTACGGTCTCAACTGCGCGCCGTATCTCGCCATTCGCTGTCTCCACGAACTTGACCGGCAAGACGGTCATCGTTTTCCACTTGCTAAAGACGTCCTTACTAGAGCTGCTTATGTCGACGACATCGTTATCGGAGCTGACACCCAAGAGCTCTTACTACGTCGGAAGGAAGACGTTGTCGGTCTACTACGCAACGGTGCCTGTATGTTGAGCAAGTGGACTAGCAACAGTACCACCGTTCTCGAGTCCGTTTCTCCCGATGACCGTGTACTCTCTATATCGTTCGATCCGCGCGAAGAACACGCCGTAAAGGTCCTAGGCCTGCATTGGGACACGAAAACCGACAAGTTTGCCTATCATACCCGGCTTGATCAAATTTCTTTGACGAAACGTCAGGTGTTGTCCGTCATTGCGCGCTTGTTCGACCCTATTGGCGCCCTGGGCCCTATGCTGTTGTGGGCAAAATATTTTATGCAACTATTATGGTGCAACAAACTCGGATGGGACGACCTGATGTCCCCCGAACTGCAATCTATGTGGCAACAATTTTGCACTGAGCTTCCGCTCGTATTCGACCTGAACCTCCCACGTCACATCGACGTCATCTGTCATCAGGACATTCAACTATTGGGCTTCGCGGACGCATCGATAAAAGGGTATGCGGCCGTCGTGTATCTACGTCTCGTCAACACCGCCGGTGACATCTCCGTTAAATTCATCACTTGTAAAACCAAGGTCGCCCCTCTGAAGAGTGCCGCCGTCGACGAGTCGCTTTCCATACCTCGCTTGGAATTATGCGGGGCCCTGCTGTTGGCCCAGACACTTCATCACGTGCAATCTGTGCTGTCCACCGAAGTGTCTATATCTCGTCTGCGTGCGTGGTCGGATTCGTCAGTTGTTTTATCGTGGTTGACCACAGACCAAAAACAATTCAAAATTTTTGTGACCAATCGGGTCGCCAAAATACGTCAGCTACTACCGGATTGCGTATGGAGCTACGTATCAACGCTCGACAATCCCGCGGATCCCGCCTCTCGTGGACTCATGCCGAAATTAATGTTGTCCTCGTCTATTTATTGGGACGGTCCGGAGTTCCTACGAATTCCTGAAGACCAATGGCCACCGTCTAGATTTATTCCGCTCGCTCCGGAGCAGCTGCCGGACACTCGGCCTAACGTCGTCGCAACGTTGGCCGTCAACGTCCATCCGTCTTCGTTGGATTTCATCGGTAAATTTTCGTCGCTCGAAAAAATGTTACGAGTATTGTCTTACGTTTCTCGTTTTTTATCTCATCGTCTACGACGGCAACCGATCCGTGTCGGTCCTATCACGTTTTCCGAGCGAGAAAGGTCCTTGTCGATTGCCGTACAGCGGACACAACAGTATTACTTTTCGGATCTGGTTAAAACGTTAAAAAATAAGTCTACGATCACCCCCCCATCTTTGGCACAATTAGCACCGTATATCGACGACAACAACATTGTACGAGTGGGAGGTCGCCTGCGTTTTTCCAACGCCAGCTACGACGCGAAGCATCCGATTCTGTTACCGCGATCCTCGCACCTCACCGACCTGGTCATTCGACACTACCACTTGTCCTTTCTGCACGGCGGATCAAAGTTGGTACTATCAATGTTGAATCAAAAATACTGGATACTGTCTGGTCGCGCGGCAGTTCGACGTGTCATTTTCTCGTGCGTTCCGTGCACACGCCATAAGGCTGTCCGCCCTCAACCATTGATGGCTGACTTACCATCCTACCGAGTTCAACCTCACCGTCCGTTCTCCCACGTCGGTATGGACTACGGAGGGCCGTTCCTCGTTAAGGAACACCGTCGTCGGAATGCACATTCGGTCAAGGTCTACCTCGCCTTATTTATTTGTATGTCCGTCAAGGCGGTCCACCTCGAAATCGTGTCCGATCTCAGCACTGACGCCTTCCTCGCGGCTTTGGACCGGTTCGTCGCCCGCCGTGGGATTCCGTCCAACCTCTACTCGGACTGTGGCACAAATTACGTCGGCGCCGCCCGTCAATTAAAATTGTTATTTCGCGACGCCAAGGCCCAAGACCGTCTCTCGACGCACCTCAACTGCACATGGCATTTCAACCCGCCTGCTGCGCCGCATTTCGGTGGCATTTGGGAAGCCGGCATCAAGAGCGTCAAATTTCACCTCAAACATGTCATCGGTCAGCAGGTGTTGACATACGAAGAATTCTATACGTTGACCACTCGCATCGAGGGCATTCTGAATTCCCGACCGATTACACCGAGTTCATCCGACCCGCACGACCTAAATGCGTTGACGCCGGGACATTTTTTGATCGGACAGCCGATCCACGCCGTGCCTGAACCTGACACCACCGAAGTCAAAATCAACCGTTTGAATCGTTGGCAGCTCATTCGGCAATGTCATCAGTCCTATTGGAAACGGTGGTCACGCGAATACCTATCCACGCTGCAAGGTCGACAAAAATGGTGTAAAGCGTCCCCGAACCTCGCCGTCGGCGACATGGTCATCGTCGAAGCCCCGTCTCGACCACCTACCGAGTGGCGTCTCGGCCGCGTCACAGAGGTCCATCCAGGACCAGATGATGTCGTTCGTGTCGTGTCCGTGCGCACTCAGGACGGTATCTACAAGCGCCCGGTCGTGAAACTCGTGCGTTTACCGGTCGAGCCCTGATCCCTGTCCTCATGTCCAATGTCCTCATTATGTAAAAATATTTTAATTATTTTTTTCTTTTTTTTTTTTTTTTTTTTTGAGCATCAGTCTCATTCATGTAAATTATGTATTTAGTCTAGTGATGATTTATTTATGTATGATTATTATACCACCTATGTATATATGTACCTATAGCCTCGTATTGTTGTAATGTGTACGATCTGGACTTCAACGTCCATATTCCTGTCAGATGAGTTCTTGAAAGACGCCTGGGTCTTTCAACGCGGGGAGGAAATGTTGGGTACACAGTCGGCATATCAAATTTCGCGCGGTCGTGGTTGATACGCGTATGTCGCAATGTTGTCACCCTGCCGCCCCGCCGCCGAGTAGTGTGGCAGCCCATGTGGCAGCGAACTTTGTACCCCCGGAGAGGGGACGGTATCGTTGCGGTATAGTCGCTGCTGGCTGTACCCGCCGCCATATTTTCGTCGTTTTGGAGCCGTCTAGGCGATCGGTCATGTTTTTGAGTCGTCGTGCACATCCGCATTGTTTTACCGTCGCGAACCGGTGCTCCGTCGCCGTCATTACCGTCTTGTTCCGAGCCGTCGATGCTCTCGTGTTGCACCGTGCGTCGTCCCCACGATTTTTGTATCGTCTCGACCTCTCGTGTCGCGATACGGTTGTTTTGTTTTTTCGTCGCCCGTCCGATTCTCGCTGTGCGACCCCGACCGCGTGTTACCCTCGTTACCCACGTGTTTGTCGTTCGAGCCGCCCGTGCTCTTTGTCATGTCACGCCGTGCGTAGTGTCGACATTTTGGATTGCTCGACCGCCTGTGTCGTGATCCAACACAACTTTGTGTATTTTCGTCGCTCGCCCGACTCGCTGTGCGTTTCGAGCCCTGCTCGACTCTCACCCACGTGTTCCGCCCGCCCGTCCTACGCAGTGCGAACCGTGTTTTAAGTAACTTGTTGTCGTTTGTGCCGCGTCCCTACGCCGCGACAATTGATGTTTTTCGCGTGACCGTTTCGAAGTCTCCCCTTGAGCAGAAAAAACGAGTTCGTGTCCGCGTCGCCCAATATTTGGTTTATACATCCGCTTCAACCGTTCGACCACCGGTCGTACGTTCGCAGTGTCGTCGACCTATTCGTCGACGTCGACGAGAGTGCAAAGTGCCGCCAGCCCCGATTGCCGCCCGCAGCTACTACAACGTCGCATTGGGTCAACTGGAGCGTCATCGTCGTGGTATCATCACCCGTCGTTATCACTTATCAGGTCGTACACACGTGATTTATTTGTCAACAAACATCACCTTTGTATTTGTAATTTGTATTAATTTTTTTTTCTCTTGATTTATTGTTTACGCGATCGTTTGTGATCGCGCACTACTGTTACCTACTAACCCTAGCTTAAGTAACGTTTACTGCAGGACATTACAATAAATTGTTCTGTACACCTTATAGCAAAAAAAACATTGTTGTCTGTTAGAGTTACCTTATACTCATCATCATATTATTTTCAACCAGCTTCCTATTCATCATATTCTAAATACAGTCCACTTTTTATCCCTTCCCACAGGGCTATCGACCTAGGACGTAAGTATCGTCAAACAGAACGGGTTGCGTGTCGGCCGCCGTCCGTGCGCGCACTCACACACACGCACACTCGTCACCGGCTTTACGTGTGCAGCCATCATCCGCACAATATATAATTAGGTATTAATTTCCAACAGAAAGTTGCATTCGTTTTAAAATCTACTAAACCCCGTTATATCCTGCAGGATCCAATAAGTGTACCTAATTAGATATATTATTATAGAATAATAACTTGCGTGATGGCAAAATACATTAAAAAAATTTTGATTTATTTATGGAAAAAACAGAATATATTATATGCCTAAGAAAATATCTGTGTAAAATGAATACAATACAAACTTGATAAACTAAAAGAAAATTGTATTTAGTTTTTTGGTTATCGTGGTGTTATATATAATATAATATAAAACTCGATGATTATTATTTTTTTTATGGATATTACATAAAGAATGAATATTAAATATTGTAAACTTTAAATAGGAACTTACTAATTCTGATAAACTCAACGAACCAGAACCAGATGTGCTTAAATTTCAATCGCGGTAAATACTATATTATAATATAGTAACATGAGCAATATATATATATATATATATATATTATATAATTATATAGTTATATAAAGAGGCTTTCAGAAACTTCAAATGCAAATTATATACTGACACATAAAGGGTAATCACCCGCTTTTAATTTAAAAGTATAAAATATAATAAACATGGTAGGTATTCATTTATAGAAGTATATTAAATTAAAAGTTTATAATTTTGTTAAGTGTTATATACCTATGTATTTTAGTATAAAAATAAGGATAAATTAGTATTGTGTTTTATTTAGATATGTTTCATGGAATATTATAAATAATAATTAACGTAGAATAAGAAAACAGTATCTATTTAATAGAATTCTAAACTTCTTAAATTAATATGCAAAAATAATTATTATAAAATTGGAATAAAATAACTTTTTTGACTTAGGTCAAAACAATAGGTAACTGTGTCACTTACTTCTGTTAGTGATTTTTAGTAATATTGAAGCTTTTATTTAACGACAATTATATTAACAAAATGTCTTGTTTTAATTTTCAGGTTGCTTATTTAACCGTAATGTTTGTTCTCAACGCGAATTGTGCCATGATGGTAAGATGACAAATTATTTATAACTTTATCAAAAGTTAATATTAGTTTTAGTAGTATAATTGAATTAAATTAATAAGTAATAACAATAACATATTTATTTTATCATAGATCATGCATTTGGCAAATGCATTCCAAAATATGATAATGGAGCCGGAGAATACACGTAAGATAATAATAGATTTACTACCAAACCATAACTCGTAAATAGCTTTCGATTTATCACGTGTTTACATAATACAATACCTATTAATAATTGAAAAGTAGCCTTCCTTCTCCCCTAAAATATTTCCAACTTTCAATATAGTTTTTGCGTAGGTACCTATCACATAATATTAGCTAATATTAATGTGAAATAACTCTTACATTAAATAATAAATAATAATTTGATAAGTAACCAAATATTTTTATTTTAGGTACAAATTAATAATGAATAACCTTATGATTCTACGGGAAGATATGAAATTCCTCTACTACAATGGTTATAGTTGGCCGCATCCTTTTACACAATGCGTACTTCAACATCGATTGAAATTGATAAGATATAGTTTACCACCAGTTGACAATTCGATTTGTAATCAATACTTAAGAGTAAATGACGGTAGACAAGTAAGTCGCTTACATAACTATCGATTTAACGGATTTATTTTATTGTATTAATTTTACTATTCCAGAATGATGGGGGAGATTTTGCGGACTTCTACAAACAACCTGATGTGTATGTGGGTGCTGAAGATATTGGTCAAGATCGTGAATACTATCCCGATATAGGTATTTAAAGTTAAACATTATGAAACTTGTCAGGTTAATGATGGTGTTTTATTTAGATTATGAATATCGTCGAAATATTATTAACCGAAATAGACTTCAAGGAACTCCTTTGTATTTACCGTGGATGCCAGGCAATATATTATTACTGGTTACACTTGTGAAACAATATATTATATAACGAAATGCATTACTTTTATAGGCTCTAAACAACAACAATACGATGAAGATCCAAATGCTTTAGTTTATGGTCAACCAAGATTCCGCCCGGATTACAACACGCCGGAAGGATTTAGAGCAGGCGAAGAAATGAAGGATAAGATGGACGACGAGTGGAAAAAATTGAGACAAATGGAAATGCTATCAAAGGGTATAGACAATTCCAATAAAGCTTATACGGAAGGTGGTTTAGTGTTCTTACCGAAAAAGGGTAAGCAAACGATAGTAAGCAAACAACTAAAACACATTATAATTTAGGCTGGATATTTATAGGAGCTAATGGCGAGGAGGATGAAGTAATGTTTAGTGATTTCATTAATAATTATGATTCAGAATCGGGTTGGGCAGGATTCAAAAGACCCGAACGATTGGACGTTAAGAAACCAGGACCATTCTTTAAATTAAATAATTTCGTAGTAAGTTAATCAGACCTTGAACAGAAACTGTGGACTAAAATAAATTGCGGTGTTAATAATTTCAGAAAAATGAGGAAGAGAGTGAACCAAAACCATCCGAGGATATAACGAAAACCGTTGGTACGTTATTTCCAAAGTGATTTTAATAGCTTAGAGAAATTATTATTTTTTTTTATTCTTGCAGATGCAACAACTTTGTTAGGAACAAACCGAAAAACGGATTCAGATGATATTAAATCAACTAATCCCAAGACATCAACGAAATTAACTCAAGATGATTTCAAAACCATTTATGTAAGCAAAATTACACCAGAAGAAGAAAAATATGGACAGAAAAAAGAAAAGACTAAGGATAAAATGGATGATACGGATAATGATAATTATGAAGTGGTCGATACTTCTTATGTTTGCATCCGACTAAAAGACAAGTGAATTTATTTTTGTTAATCAATATATATTTTATTATTATTATTTATTAATTTTTACAGGATAAGTACTTCAGATAGAGGAGACAAACTACTTAAAACGCTGGCAAATCTCATCAACGTTGAATTTAAATCTATGGTGAATGCTCGGTAAGTGGTATATTACATATAAACAATGTTTTCTTAATATAATATAGTGGTTTAATACTTGTTATATTATTGTACAATTAATAATCTTAAACAAAAGTTAATAATATAAATAACATTATGTTAGTAATACCCGAATACCTTTGTTTATTTTTAATTATTTATTTACCTATATACTACCTGAATATGACCCAAGGCCAGAACTAGTAGATGGAATAGATGTATGATACTTATGGCGTTTGAGAATTTTTATTTAAATTTTTAATTATTTATTAAGACAGTTATGATTTTCTAATACTTTTTCCATTTCAAAATTATTATTTTTTTTTTCAGTTTTGACGAATCTGAGATTACATTCCAGATACTCCCAAGCGCTGGAATTAATATTACGGAATTGGTGAAAAAAATAGAAACAATGAAGAACAAATTCGCAAAGAAAACGGGTTATACCATTGACTTTGTGAGCATTGGAGATAAGGTAAATGTACCTATATGACAGCGTTGTATTAAATGTAGAAACCTAAGTTAAATAATATAAATTTAGGCCAAGACACCATCAGTGATGATGAGTTCAACATACGAAGACAGTAAAAATTTCGAATGGATTTTCATGTCCGTTGCAGCTGTGTGCGCTGTAGTAGCCTCAGCTGCGGCGTTACTAATAATTAGAAGACATTCAAGATATAAAAACAAATTTGAAGGGTTGATTGGTAGTAGTGCGGAAGTCAGTAAAGATTATCAGGTAAATATTTTATCGAGATATAATGATATTTACATAACTCGTATGGTTACTGTACCTAATACCTACCTACATTTGTTTGTATTTTTTTTTTTACCTAGGAATTATGCCGAGCAAGAATGTCGAATAAGAAAGAAGAACCGAATGCCGCGTCCCAGAGAATAGCAAGCTTGTCAAAAGATCCAGACAACAGTCCTTCTTCAAGGTCAAGCACGTCTTCGTGGTATTTTTTTGTCATAATTATAAGCACAAGATGTATGCTTATAGGCGTGCGTGCGGGTGTAGCAGACGGGGTTAAAATATCATACCCATATGATACTCATATCTGGGTGATTCTTTTATCAAACAACACTCATTATTTCAAAAAGTGTAAATTTTTTTGAAGATATTTTTTTACATAGTTTCAAGTTGCTTATAAAACAACGTTTTTATTAAAAAATTATTTTTTTAATTATTTTTTATCCTTATAATTTTTTAAGTTTTTTACTTTTTTGAATGACAACATAGGGTTTTAATTTTATATTCTAAAGTAGAATATTTTTCTTAGTATTTTGATACATGAAAATTGAATTTGGGGCGAGTAGTTTATGAGTTATAAGTAATTAAAGTTTAGACGAGCGGTGAAGTGGACAAACATTTCGCGGGGTAACCCCGAACCACTCCACTCTGCTCGTTTAAACTTTAAATACTTATAACACATAAACTACTCAACCCAAATTCGATTTTCATGTATCAAAATACTAAGAAAAATATTCTGCTTTGGAATATAAAATTAAAACCCTATGTTGTTATTCAAAAAAGTAAAAAACTTAAAAAATTATAAGGATAAAAAATAAATAAAAAAATAATTTTTTAATAAAAACGTTGTTTTATAAGCGACTTGAAACTATGTAAAAATATATTTTCAAAAAAATTTACACTTTTTGAAATAATGAGTGTTGTTTGATAAAAGAATCACGCTGTATTTTCTTGTTATTATAATGGTTGCATCCAAAAACCACACACTGATCTATAAATAATAAATTTTACAATTTTAAGCAATTATAAATTCATTATAAAGTGTGCGGTTATATCCTACTAAATATAATATGCGGTTTAACCTTACTAATTAGGTACACGGTTTTTAGATTCAACGACTACAACATTTAAATATAGGTATGACAAGTTTAAGTTAGGTAGTTTAAATTAAATATAATGGGTAAGTAATAGAAAGGAATATTTCAATATGGTAGTTTCTCGTTGGACTATAGCTGGTACCTACTATTTTATTCAGTACATATTTTTACTAAATTTTAAAATGACAAAAAGGACAAAAACTTATTCACATTTTACAAATATTCTAAAAATTTATGAAAGATTGAATCGACAAAATAAAAACATTTATCCGGTAATCAATTAAATCAATCAGTTACAACAAGTTAGGCCGTTTATTTTTTTGATGCTACATTTGCGATTGGTGCCGAATTCCACAATTTGCACGCCTAAATGTATATACATACACGCAGACAAATTATTTCAACTTATGATGATATTCACTTTTAAGGGGAGAGGAACCGGTCTTATCGAACATGGATATATCTACCGGACACATGGTTTTGGTAATAACTTTGAAACGTATTTGTCCTCTGAACTCGACATACTGTTATAATGGTGCATTATATATTCTAGGCGTATATGGAAGATCATCTGAACAACAAGAACCGATTGGACAGCGAATGGGCAGCGCTATGCGCGTACGAGGCGGAACCTTGTGCGGTGAACGTCGCAAGAAAGGTGAGTAAAATTAAATCAGCCAATGACCACATTTATCACGATATATAATGGCAAATAGGCAAAGGTGGACAAGTCAATGACAAAAAATAACTTGACTCGGTGAACTTAGTTATTAGTAATCAGTTACCTAACAAATAATGATAAATATTTAACTCTGTTACGGAACATTTATCACAAGTACACAGTTAAAACGGACCTTCTCAGGACCAACAAATAACATGGACAAATAACGACCAATCATCACAGGCCATTATTAAGAAAACACTAAAAACAACAACCGAAATACAACTTGCAATGACAGGGGTGATATCAACGGATAGGGGAGAAAATACCTATCCAGAGATATTACCAAATTCACTGAAAGAGGAAAAAATTGCGACCAACATAAGACAGAAGATACGAGACTGTCTGATGGAGAGGAAAGGAGGAAAGGGCGACGAAGACAAAAAGTAACGAGGTCAAGGGTGGGATCATCGGATAGGGGAAAAAAATTCCCATTCATATACACTACCCACTACCTAACCGGAACAAGGAGAGAGAAGTTATCCCTGGATACGTAGACGCAACCAAACGCCGGCTTAACCGAATACACAAACTGTTTACTAGTCGGTACGGTAATGTGTTTATATACTGGCGTTCCGCTACCGACAAAACAACAAGTAGTGACGTTCAGCTGAATGAGCCACACGTTCAGACATAATTTATTCATAAGTACCACATTTACTACTCCCCCCACCGACTACGAGGCAAGTGAACCCAGTTGGGTCGCATCAGTGCATCATGCACGATCGTTCCACCGCTAGTAATAATGAAAAAAGCAAAGAAAAACGTTCCACCCCGCGGTTCCAACCCAAATCTTCTTCCTCCTCAAAAGGTTACAATCAAAAGACCAACTTCATCGGCTTCTCCACTTCAATCGTCAACCAAAAAACAAAAACAACAAGATAATAAATTTCTTTCTAAATCAGAATCCGAATCAATGTCGTCCATTTCAGAAGCAACCTTAACAGACCAAATATTAAGTCAACCTGATTTAGACTCGCCTTCACTCTCCGTTTTTAAACCTACATCAGGATCACTGCCAACTACCATCCGTTCTTCCTCTCCGGAAAAACCAAACTCTAGTCACTCATTATCAGACTCTCTTACTTCTACTTCCGACGATCTAGAAACAAAATCCTCACCATCAAGCACACCTGCAACTGCGGCCCCACCGCGCCAACGTGTTCCTCCAATAATCATGAAATCCACTGACTACCGGCAAATTTCACCAAAAACTATTCGCGATCGATAGTATAGATCCAAACTCCATCACGGCTAAAGCTGCAGCTGAAGGAAAAATCCATATAAATACTAAAACTCCACAAAACTTCCAAGCAATACAACCATTCCTACAAACTCAAGACATTCAATTCCACACCTTCGAACTACCTGCTGATCGTACCCTTAAAGTTGTACTAAAGGGCATTCCCACAGATATATCCGAAGAAGAACTGAAAAACGAACTCACAAATCGAGGTTTCAACATCAAAATGGTCAAACGCTTCAGTTCAGCCACGAAACCAATGTCAATATGTATGGTAATACTAACCAAAGACCTCAAATCAACTGAGATCTTAGATCTCTCAAACCTATTTTACATAAGCATAACAGTTGAATCCTTCAAGAAATCCGGACCCGCACAATGTTTTGCATGCCAACACACAAAACTGTGGGTCATCCCGCACGCTGCGTCAAATGCTCCGGTAACCACACTGCCAAAGACTACGAGAAACCCAAAACCAAAGACCCAACCTGTTGCAACTGTGGTGGCAACCACACAGCAAACTACCGCGAATGCCCCTACTATCTCCACATAGCAAACATCTCAAAAAACTCAACAAATGTCACATCAGCATCCTCCAACAAAGTTCCACCATCAATTTCGACACGAACACAAATATCATCATCCCCAACTACTACAAGCTTCGTTCAAATCACAAAAGGACCATCTCCTACATTCCCTCCTGCCACTGAACAAAGCAAGTTCAACATATCTGACATTATTCAAATACTAACAAATCTCCTAGCAGCATTGGCCTCGGAAAATGACCCAAAAATAATTATAACAAAAACTCTTAACTCCTTCATTTCCCTTCTGTCTAATAATCATGAACAGTAAAAACTTAAAAATTGCATACTGGAACGCCAATGGCATAACAAAGAAAATCCATGAACTACAGTCATTTATTCTTCAACACGAAATTACATTATACTACTAAGCGAAACTCATTTATCTCCAGAAAAAAAAACTAAAAATCACACATTTCCACACTTGCAGAAACGACCTGCCGCCCAGGCGCGGATCACCCGTTCACGGCGGAACTGCTATTTTAATCCACCGCCGCATAACCCATCAAAAAGAAAACATCAATACAAATCTACAATCAACAAGCGTAAGAATAAAAATGGAGAACAGAGAAAGAATAACGACTGCAGTCTACAAACCCCCAAACTCTGCAATAGAGCCAAACGATCTGGACCTATTAACAAATCATAACGACTGGTTAATCGCGGCCGGCGACTTTAACTCAAAACACCCCATGTGGCACAGCTACTCAACAAACAGAGCAGGCCGTACACTCTTCAAACACGCGCATCTAAACGACTACTCGATAGTAGCCCCAGACACACCCGCATATTTCCCGCCAAACACGAGATACCGACCAGACGTGCTAGACATCGCCATAGTGAGAACTCCACTTCAAGTTCGAATCACAAACCTTGCCGGATTATCATCTGAACACAATCCAATAATAATGGAATTAACCAGCTCGGCAATAACCACACCATCACCAAACTCTGGCCGTTACATTAACTGGAGAAAATTCACAAATTATCTAAGTCAAGATCTTTCAGACACTTCCCAAAATCTAAATACCACAGCTGAAATTGAGGAAACCATCAGCAAACTTACAAACACTGTAACGAACATGTCGTCATCGACAATGATGACATTAATATCGATATAAACGTCATCGATATATTATAAGATTCGATGTTGTAGTAACAATAATGCATACATTAATAGTTAATAACAGTTACATATTTATATATATATATATATACGTTGAGTACTTTGCTTTACATAAGTTAACCCTGATCCCTAGTAATAATACCCCACACCTGACACCACAAAACGACACCGAGAGGGATGCGAGCCCCAGGGGAAGAGGAGACGTTACAGTTGGTGGAGACGCCGGGCAACCCACATCGGATATCAGCATAATATATATTTCATACATATATACACATTTTAAATTACTAACACTCAGCATATTAGCCGTGCTAAACGTAGGGAGTAATGTACGATGTCGATGACGACATGTTCGTTACAACACAATAAATAGTACAATTAAAAAATGAAACTAAGCCACAAATCTCAAAACCAACTACCTGAAGAAATCCTCAAAGAGATAAGAGAGAAAAACCAAATAAGAAGGCTATGGCAACAAACCCGAGACCCCCAAGTCAAAAGACTTCTAAACTCAAAAGTCAAATTCATAAGAAGCATCCTAATAACTCACAAAACTGACCAATGGGACACATTCGTAGACTCACTGAACACAAAAGATGGTTCCATTTACAAACTATAGTCGCGGCAACGAAAAATGAGCGTTGGTACCGCGACCCGTTGCTTTTACCCACTCTTACGGCCAATGATTCTCAATATAGTGCAGATGTCGTGCTGCACTGCTGCTACGCGCTGTAGGGCTTTTCGTTTCAAAGATTGATAACCACTACTAATAAACTTCCACTTGGCGCATGACGGTCAGCGCTCATTTTTCGTTGCCGCGACGTTTTTTTTTTATAAACAAGCGCCTGCTAAACAAACAACCAGCAACACACCCACTCCTCGGTCCTCGCGGACTTGTCTACTCGGCCAACGAGAAATCGGAACTCATAGCTCGCTCGAAGTAACTCGCTCGAAAAGCAATTCACGCTAAATACAGGACCAGAAATCAAAGAAATAACTAAAGTAGCAAACGAAATTCTAAACACAACCATTACATGTTCAAACCTCTTCACATCACCTGAAACAGTACAAAAGATAATCAGTAGGCTCCCAAGGAAAAAAGCCCCGGGTGAGAACCAAATTAACAACCTGGCACTCAGATTTCTCCCATTAAACAAAATTTTAACACTAACGAGAATAATTAACAGCTGTCTAAGGAAAAGCTATTTTCCATCAAAATGGAAAAATGCTATCATCTCGATCCCCGAACCCGGATAAGGCCATAAAAATCCAGAGAACTATAGACCGATTGCTCTTCTATCATCAATATCTAAAGTATACGAAAAAGTAATCCTAGAAAAACTCCGAATTGAATGTGCCGGGAAAATCAGAAATGAACAATTTGCTTTCCACCAGGGACACTTGACAACAAATCAACTAATCAAACCGATGGACGATCTCAGTACAAATACAAAGAACAAAGAACAAACAGCAGCAATAGACGTGGAAAAGGCTTTTGATCGCATATGGTACGCAGGGTTGATATTCAAAACGTCAAAATTACAAATACCGGTAGAACTTATAAAGTTGATCGAATCGTTGTTAACAAAAAGAACCTTCTCAGTAAAAATCGAGGACAAAACATCAACCACCAGGAAGATGGCGTACCACAGGGTTCCTGCCTGTCGCCAACCCTTTTCATTTTATACACGAACGACATACCCCTCAAAAAGGACAAGTTTCCCTCTTCGCAGTTGACACAATGTTTCATACAAAAAACAAAAACGCAAAACGTGCAGCATCCAGCTATAGAAACAAACAGATTTAGCTACAGAATGGTTCAGTAAATGGCGTTTAAAAATAAATCCTTCGAAAACTACTGTGGTTATTTTTGGCCGGACCACACTATCAAGGATACTGAAAATAAACATCGATGGGATAACAATTGGATGGACAAGCAAAACGAAGTACTTAGGCATCACCATCAGCCGCCGGCCAAGAGGACCTAGTATGCGGGACCACATCTCAAACATAAAACAGCGTGCCACGCAAACAAGAGGTATGCTATACCCGGTAATCAACAAAAGTAGCCATATACCACTAAATACCCGCCTAACAATTTTTAAAAATGTATATTATACCCATTATCACTTACGAAGGCGCAGCATGGGCTCCATTCGTCACCAGATCACAATGGAAACAACTCGAGGCAATCCAAACAGTAGCCATACGGATGCCACAATACCTTAGAAACAACGTTCTCCTCAAACAAACCAATTCAATCACAATCGAACAAACCATCAAACAACAATCGAGAACAAATTTTTACACCAATCAACAATCCATATTCATAATTTAGGCCGTTCTAAAAAGGACCAGATTATATCAAAAACCCATAGACCCTTCTCATGGGCATATGAAGATCAACCCATATTAAATCATTAACTCCTTCGAAAACTTCAATCTACTAGAATAGGCCTCGTGACTAGTATAGTTAATAGGCCCCAGGCCACCCCAACAAAGCAAAGAATAAAACCGACAAAACAAACTTCTTCCACTTCCACATCAACTCTAAAAACTTCAATCTAACTATACAACAGACTGAATTAAATTTTGAGAAGGAAGACTTACGAAGACACCAGCCGCCGCGACGATCTTCTAAGCGATCCTGTTCAGCGGTCCGGAATCGCCACCGCAGCAGAAAATCAACATGCCGCCGCTACGGTTAAAAGCACCGTCAGCGACGTGCAACTGACAGCGCCCACCGACCTTTAGCCGACTACGACGAATCTACACGACCAGCCGCCTTGATCACTCGTGACGGTGAATTGCCTATACATCACACATCGCACGGCGTTTTCTCCCGGGCCACACCTCTCAGGGCTAATCGGTTACCAAATAATATTATTAAGCGAACGTCCTCGAAGTGTATCACGGTCAACAGTGCACGGCAACCCACGTACCCTCTCGGTGCGACGTCAAACAATCCTTTGATCTGCGGACGGCCCCGAACTCAACGTTCAACCGACGACGACGACGAAGCCAGACCTTAGAGTAAAGAAATCACTGATGACCAAGGATCCAGGAAGCCCACACGCTACCGACGGGACGGATCCAGAGGAACGATTCCAATGCCCGCGGGTGAAACCACGGAGACGACGACCTGACCAACACTCAACAGTAACTCGTTGCCACCAAAATTGCACTTTTCAGAGCTCCCAAAGCATTAAGGCACTTACTCAAGTTGACCTTCCCGGATTCGACTCGTCGCCGGAGTACCACTTAATTAAGCTTGTACAGATGACAGTCAATCCCCAGACCCGTAACTGTACACAAAGCATGATCTGCCCGATACATTGTAATTAGAGTCCGACCTCGGCCCGACAAACTCCAAGCATCACCGATTGTTCCGACTCACTTTTTCCAAGTCTGGTGGGAACAAGCCGACGCTTTACTCACCCCTTATATTATATGTATATATGTATATTTTATACCAAAATATAGGAACGTGATTACTTACAAAATACGTAGGTACGTTCTAATTATTAACTTAAAATATTATATTAAATATATTAACTTAAAGTTTCAGTAGGTATCACCCCACAGGAACCAAATTGATTGTGCACTGTGCAAGTGTGGAACATTAAAATTGTATAAAATATTAATTTTTAACTACTATAAACTATACCTATACCTATTTAACGCCCATAATAATTACAACGAGCTGTTTTTAAACACAGTGGATTTTTTAAATTATCGTCATAATTTTTTTTTTTCATGCATCCTCGTCGTTATAGCCGGACAACGCCAAGAAGAATCGTTACATCAACGCACTGCCATACGATCACGCCAGAGTTGTGATCAACGAGTACGCCAACATGAATAACTCGGACTACATAAACGCATCAACAATAGTACGTCCGATCGGTGTATACTGCGTATACCTATAATACCATAGACCAACAAATAAATGGACTGTTGCCTAGTACCCTAGTACCCAATAAGAAATAACAAATCAGGATCAAGGTGTTGGCCCTAGGGCTATCCCTTAGTGCCTACTGGTGGCCATTATGTTCCAATCATACATAGACATAATATACGAAAATAATATTGGGATACAACATACGCCTCCCCCCCATTTTTAATCATATTTAAGTTTTAAATATTAATTATTAGTCCTTGTGCTGCTGATACAATTTTAGTACAAAAAAATTTTACAAAAAAAATTGAGCATACAATAGTCCTATCATATGTTCATTTTTTAACCATGTAACCTGTATGGCAGTCCAAAGCATAGTCCATATTATATTAATTATTTATCTATTGTATATATATACTGTATAGGTACTAGTTTTCAATAATATGTTGTATGAGTATTACCAAATATCCAGTGCGTACCTACACGGACATTTCCAATGGGTGGGGGTGGGAGTTATGTTAAAATATGCATGTATGTTGTATGTTTTAAAAACCAGAGGGGGGGTAAACACCCTCTCCCCCGCCGGGTGTACGACACTGCACATAGGCGTCCATACAACGGTTGTCGACGGATTTTCAAGCGATTAAATATTAATATTTCTTGTTTACTGTGTACATTTTGTGCAGACTGACCACGATCCGCGTAACCCGGCGTACATTGCAACACAAGGACCGTTAGCCGAGACGTCGGCGGACTTTTGGCAAATGGTGTGGGAACAAGGGTGCGTGGTGATAGTCATGTTGACCAGACTGGTTGAGAACGACGTGGTGTTGTGTCACCGTTACTGGCCAGAAGAAGGATCGGAACTCTATCACATATACGAGGTAAACTTTAGGATTATATATAGGCCATTGACAGATATAAACCCTTATAGGTTTAGGTACCTACCTACTAATACGTAGGTATTATATCTACTTAGTACTTTAATAAATTCACACGTTCGCCTGTTATATTCAGTTTGAAATAGAATCAATACACATATTTTATAAAAAAAAAAAAAAAGGTACCCAAGTATGTAGCTACTTAATATTGGTGTCCGTTTTTTCGTTTTTATTTTTAGGTGCATTTGGTGAGCGAACACATATGGTGCGACGATTACTTGGTAAGGAGCTTTTATTTGAAGAATTTGAAAACCGGAGAGACCAGGACCGTTACTCAGTTCCACTTCTTGACATGGCCAGACGGAGGGGTACCGAACACCACCAAAGCTCTTTTGGAGTTCCGCAGGTAATTTACGTGGGTAGTTCGATGGTAAAGTGTATAGGAAGTTGCCAGGAAGCTGCCAGTAAGTTCATATGTGCCGTGTAAACGGGTGCCCATGTGCTAGAACCCATTGACATTTGTTCGGGGTACTGAGCCCCATAAAAATTGTGATCAAATTATTTTAATAATTAGTATTTACCTAATGTTCTTAAAAAAAAATAATACGAACATTTTTTTTTATTAACGATAAAATGAAGTAGGTAAATCGATAGATAATCGATCCATATTATAGATGGAACAACAAACAATTCATATAGATATAATGCAATTATCATTAAGTTACTTAACACATTCATCGCAAGCGCATTACAAAAGTTTTTTTTTCAGGAAAGTAAACAAGTCGTTCCGTGGCAGATCTTGTCCTATTGTCGTGCATTGCAGGTAAGTCCAGATTATATTTGGGTAAATGTTTTATATTTCTCATGCAATCTGAATGTAAATGGAACAATATTGTGTACTTATACCTAACCTATTTTATCATAATACGCAGCGATGGTGTTAGTCGTACTGGTTCGTATTGCCTATTGGACATGGTGCTTAATCGTATGGCGAAAGGAGCTAAGGAGATCGATATAGCTGCTACCCTGGAGCACATCCGGGATCAGCGTTCAGGTGCGGTGGCAACTAAGGCGCAATTCCAAATGGTTCTGGCCGCCGTGGCCGAAGAAGTGCAAGCCATACTGAAAGCTTTGCCCCAGCAACAGACACCTCAACCTTTACCTCCGCCTCCACCACCAGCCCAACATTGAATTTCTTTTATCCTGTTACACATACACGATTTAAGCTCTACCCTTTGCTAGTGTTTCCTAAACTATAGGCTCAAAAAATCTTTTTTTGATCTCATCGACTATCTTCTAGACCTCATCATAATAAAACATTTATTCGGATGCTTGAAACTCCAGCATAATATTATATAAACTTAACGCCTTTCGTTTTCCTATTCAAGTGTTGATTTATGTTATAATATTATATATTTTACCGGTCAATTGTTACCAATACAAAAAATAACCATAAAACAGGTTGATTATTATGTATTTTTTTATTATATAATTTTAAATGTTTTTTTATTTGTTTTTATTTTAAGTATACATTTGTTTATTTCCTCTTCAAAAGTCATGAACTATTAAGTTAAATTTCCAATTTTATTTAATAACCACACAGACATTTTAACATTCGTATAATATTTAGTCATATACAATTATAATCAAATTACCTATTATTACTTATTAGAGATCATATAATAATAGTTTTCAATTTTTGAAATTAAATTTATTATATTAACAGACATACATACAACATATTATACCTACATTACATAAACTATATAATAATTTTGTGTTAAAAAATATATAATATATACTTATAAATTATAATAAACAATTATTAATATTAATAGCTATAGAGAAGTATTTAAATTATATTTATGCAAAATATTATACCTGTCTAATGTGAAATCTAAGACATCCGAATAAAATCTGAACTGTTCCCTAATGATTAAACAGTAGTTTAATTTATTTGTTAATTTATTCATCCAGGAATCGTTAAGCCTCAGCACCTTGTGTTTTCATTGATTACGTAATATATATTTTATTCGCTAAATTAATACCTAATAATTAATAGCTGAATAAATCTATAGTAATGTAACCAGTCAAAGGTTAGCACTCATCTAGTCATCATTGGCACTCTAGATGTATTTAAATTTAGTTTAATGTAATTACATAATACATTAGATTGGCCTAAAATAATTTTGAACAATATTATGGTCAACAATATCCCAAAAATAATTAGGAATGCGGATTAAGTTAAACTATGAATTAAAATAAATGTTTATCGAACAATTTTAAAAATTGCATTGATCATATTATAATATATACTAGGTATTGTATATGTAGGTACCTAGATTAGTATAGTTGTGACCAGCAAGATAACACGCCAATTCTGCTCATCCTCGCGTATAACCCTGTCATAGAGACCGGTTCCTCTAGGCAGGGTGTTACGTAGGGATGCACAGAAGAACCAAACACAGGTGTATCGTGTATGTGTTCTCTCGCTAGACAGAGTACTGTTTGGTATCAAATGTACCAAAAGTTGTATTTAAAGCATAAAGCACAAAATCATAAATAACTAGTTTAGATTATATTTTAAATGCTTGATTCTTATAATTTTACATATCATCAAAATCAATTGATTACGCTTCTCTCATTATTTTACAAAAATGTATGATAACTGATAGGTTATTAGAAATATATTGCACATTTAATGCAAAACAAGAATAAAACCAATCCATTAATTCATTCATTGCAAGTTAAAAAAGTTTTTTAGTTCTTTAAACATCAAACAATTCTAAGAACTACATGTAATGGATGATTTTTTTATTCAAACAAATTGTCAAAAAAAAAAAAAAAAATAATTAAAAATATGTATAACAATCTAACAGCTCTATAATCGTTTAAAGCAGTAGGTAGTTCTAAATATTTATTATTTACATCATACAAACAAGATTTAACAAAATATATTTTCCACACACTACAACTAATAGTTTCTCTTGTTTCTAATAATTATAATAATATCAGGCACATATGGAGGTAGTGGGTTAGTTTTACATGTACTGATAAACAATAAACATGGCAAATAAAGTTATATTATTAAAATATTTTTTAGAAATATTTCATTGAAAAAACCGAACTAAAAATGATTTTATTAATCCCTTATTTTTTATTTTTATTATTTCATTTTAACCTGAAACATTATTCTTAAGCTAATAAAGTTATTATTTTGTGTAGTTTCATCCTTTTCAAATAAAGATTAAAAAATAATCTTATTCCATGTATATTATTATTAAAAAAAAAAAATAAGTCCAATTCTGAAATATAAGCTCAAAAATGTAGGAATTACGAATCAATCTTGTATAAATCATCTTTGTTTAGTTTGATTTGGTGAACATTGTTAAAGAACGACAGGCTAAAAAATAAAGATTTATTTGATATTAGACTGGTGTTCCAAGTTGAAACAAACTTCTGAATGCCAACTTTAAAATACTCTGGATCAATCACAAATTGTTCTTTTATCTTATTATGAATAGATTGAAATTCAGATAAAATGTTTTCAAATTCTTTTTTTTCAGTATTTAGTTCTTCTATATCATAATTTAATGTATTTAATATACAAACATCACTATGAGCCGAACCGTTAATGCTTTTTTCATTCAAACATCCACTTAAAAACACTTGATGAATACACGGAGAACATACATTATTTATAGTGCAAGAACATAGTCCAATATACATATCAACAAAAAATTTACCAAAATTATCACTTTCTACTAAGTACAAAGAATGATTTTCATTTATACTACAGTAAGTAAAACCGTTTTTATCTCTGTACATTTCTTTGAAGTTATTTAAAATTATTTGTTGATTATTATTTGGACTATCTGTAGAAAAATTGTTGTAGAATAAGTCAATTTCAGCAATAACAAAATGAAATGTTTGTAAGATTGAAAGTGATTTAGTATGATAGTAAATAAGTTTCCGTTCTGAAATTGTAGAGCATGGATGAGAGGACATGGGTGAACAAAATAAAAAAATGTTTTTATCAATATCTTGCATAAATTGTTTGAAATTTGGATATTTTTCAATAAAAATAGCAAAGTTTGTATCTGAAAAATGGTCAGGAATAAAACTTTCAGAACATACTATTTTTTTTAATTCAACAAAGCAATTTAACTCTTCAATCATATTATTATTTTTTGTATCACTAATAAGCCATTTCCATGCACTCAGCAAAAAATGAAATTTAGAAACACATACAGTGGCTTTAGGAAAAACTGTTTGGAATGTATGTACATACACTAAATCTACTACAACAGTTTTGATAGTGCCCCCTAATTTTTCCCACAAACATAAGCCCACTTTTAACAAGCAATCTTTATCGTCAGTGGAAATAATTACACCTACAGGAATCATTAAATTTTTATCATTTTTACTAAACATGAACCATGTTTTACATTTATCAAAACTAGTTGAGCACACAAATACTGTATCAGTATTAATTGCTCCCATTAGTGGGGTTCGAACAGCAACCACAATATTACTTTTTATTAATTCAACCACAGCACTCTTCGTTCCTATACTGGCATTATAATATTTTATAGATTGCATTAATGAATCTACACGTTTAACAAACGGTGATGAAAATTTAGATTTTCTTATGTGCCTGTAGTACAACTCATAGACAAATTCTACATCTGACTTGATTCCTGAATCCATTAATTTCAAATAATGATTTTTACCTTTATTTTGTATAGTTTCAATTGTATATTTATGCAAAGCACCAGCAGCTGATTTACCATTTTTTAATAAAAGAATTAATTGATTATAAACATCATATATATCATGGAATAATTTCATTGGTGTGAAACAATTCATGGGATGACAATGACAATGGTTCATTAATACAACAGCTTTTGATTGATGAGGTCTGTAAACAACAAATCTCATGTCTAAAAATGTACTTAAAATTTCCATTATAATCACATTTTTACTTACAATTCATTGTCTAAAGGTTTAATTATAACTGTTAGACTCGCTTTACAACTTGTTGGGTTCCGCCGCATACTATTAGACTTAACATTCCAATAGTCAATGTTTTTGCATTTATATACGATCTAAGATAATAGAAATGTTATAAATATACTAGGTACTATTTACACACTTATATGTTATAATGAATGTAGAAGCTGCTTTACTTACTCGATGGATATTTTGTAAAGAAATAGATGGTACGTTTTCAGTTATATAATTAACTTTTGTAATATGACATAAACTATTCAACCAATCTGAAATTGATTCTTTGTCGGTGTTATTAATATGAAATTTTGCTTTGAACTGTCCATGAGATAAATCTTTGAATGCCAATATTGTATAAGAATAATCAACTGGCAAGCAATCCTAAAGTAAATACACAATTATTTTTGCAAACAATTTTCAAATCAGATCATATATTATCTTAAATGTTTAGAAGTTAAATCAATGTTTAAATCAATGATAGGTATCTAACAGAAGACGCGATAAACTGTCCAGTGGCGTACCTGTAAAACATTTGCGGTAGGATGGTGAATTCTTAAATACCTCAATTTATAAGGTTAAAACTATTAAAAATGCATATGCAAAGCAAAATTAAATTTGAATTATGCCAAAAAATACTTCTCGGGTATGAGGAATTTTGTGGAAGGGACGGCAAATGCCCCCATGTTGCCAACCCTTTAGGTACGCCAATGATAAGTAGGTATATTTTAAGTACACATGTTTGCTTACTTTTAATGATAAATAAGCGTTGAGCTTTTGAGAAACTCTTTTCTCCAATGGCTTTGAAGTGTCCTTGCTCAAATTAGGTATTGAAATACTGTGTTTTAAATGTATATGTTTACTCAACATACCTTTACTTTTAAACTGTTTGTGGCATTGTGAACAGGTTAATAAGCTTTTCGAATTATCATTACATATTGAAGGAACATTAGATTCATGATCAGTTTTCATATGTTTTAAAATATGTTTTCTTAATGTAAAAGTCTGTGAACACAGACTGCATGGATATAAAATATCCATTGTTGAAAAGGTTGTCTACCTATTAAAAATAAAATAATACCTGCTTCAAAACTAGTTACAATAGAAATAAATGTATCTTAATAAAATATAATAATATACACACTTTAAAAATATGCTTAAACTTTAAATAATAGGTATATAATAGTGTAAACATTAATTTAAAATTGATAAATACTTACATTTTTAAAATTAAAGCAACAAATAAAATAATGTTAATCAATAATAGTTTAAAAGTACGTACGACTTAAGGCCCAACTTAATAGTTGATAGGTAATATTATTTAATAACTTAGTTGAGTTATTAGAATATTTTAGTTTTGATAAGGAATTTTCGAAAAAAAATTGGGAAATTAAAAAAAGTTAGACGTTTCTGTAATACTGTGTGATGTGTAATTAATAATTTATTACAAATGTCAGTAATTTTAATTATGTTACCAAAATATTAAATAGTGAACACAATAATATTAAATAATTAAATGATCCGAGATCGTTATTCGTAGTTGTCATAATATTATCACAGATTATAAAACATTTCAATACAATCACCATACGGACTAAGGTATATCTTTAATCGTGTCACAGAACCACGATTAAAGATATACAGGTTGCACATCGCCCTATACTCTATAGTAAACCGCTTCCAGACTGATTTACAAAGTGACTATAAAAATCAGCTGTTAATAATTAACTAGTGGCGCGCAATGTCAACACTCAACCATATGTGTCGACATTTAGAACTAATTTTACACCTATATATCTATAATCGGTTAATTGTAATACTGCCGCTTGGAGCGCCACTGGTTAATTATTGGTAGTCATTTCGTATTTCACCTTATCAGTAGTCGATGTGCAACCTGTATATCTTTAATCGTGCACAGAACAATCTATGATATTAGTATCACATTATCACGGTATAGATGGGCTCAGTTCTCCTTCAACCAATAAAAACGGACTACCCCAATGTTACCACTATGGAAAATCAAAATCTGAATACCGACTACCATTTTATCAGAAAAATGATAAGCGGCAAATGAACGGGAGATGGATTTTATTTTTATTTTGGAAATAAATTTATTTATATGTCTCTTGTCTATGGAATTACAAATAATGGCTTATTAAAATCATAATCAGCATTCAGAATATACTTTAATACTATATAGAAGAAAATAATATAAATATATTATAATTACACAAATATCTATTGTGCTAAATCTAAAAACAGAACGGGGATTTAAATGAAAATTTAATTTAATTTAATTGTGTAATTGTGTCATTGCGTAATTGTGGTCCATAATGTGATATAACTTGATAAAGTTAAGAAGAAACTCAATAAAAAAATAAAAAGTGAATTGTGTATGTACCTATATATCAAAAACGATATATCGTCCACCGGTCTCCACCGATATATAGACACTGAACATTAGAATTTGTAAATTTAAAAACTAATAGGTATTCTTTACCATAATAGGCGGAAATCCATTAAAATTTCAGGGGGGCTAACATTATTAACATCAATGTGAGCGGGGGTGGCTTCGATCCTACAAAACTAAAAAAGGAGGGGGCTGGACGGACTTTGGGGTCTACACCCCATCAAGCCCCCTTCGATTTCCGCCAATGCACTCAGCATTACGGGGATTCTCACTTTACCACCAGCTGGACGGAAAAAGGTCGCTTCTCAACGCTTCAACCGCTATGAAAGCCGAACTTTCAATGCAGGCGTGACAAAAAAAAATATTTATAGCTTTTTATGTCATACTATAGCCGATAGGTATGCTTTCAGTTGTTTATAAGTTATTGGTTCATTTAGGTACATATTTGTCATTAATCATAATGAATTAATATCTAGGAATTAAATTTCGCCTCCACCTTGAACTGAACCTTGATAACCAACATGTAAATATTTCAGTCAGCGTAAAGCTCTTAAAATCGTTGGCATTGTTTTTTTGCCCTCAACTTATGATCACAAAATTGAGCACATTCGTCATGTAAGTCTCTAAAACAACACATATTGAATATTCCCTCACGTCGTATTGAAGCGGACATCAGATTTCTTTCCTTGCTTATTGATTAAATCTATCAAGAAGTTCCATCACTAGATAGATTCTTCTGTCAAGCCTCCAACCCATCAACACCCACAGCGCTTGTACTTGTTGTAAAAAAAATAACTTTACAGACTGTATAAATAAATTTATTGTATAAATAAATTAATAATGTAACAAAAAAAAACTTATTGATGGTTACATAGACGAACCTGATCTCCTTGCCAGACGTCAAGCACGCTTTTCCACGATCATGGTCATAATATTAGGGGCTAAAAAACCTATAAAAAAACCTCGGCAAATAATAAACCAGATAAGTAGATGTCACTCTGCTGTACAGTAGGTTACAGGTGGGTCACTGTCAGGGCCTGATTAAGGAGTTGGTCACCAGTAGGCTAGGGTTGATTTGGCGCCCCTGTGGAATGATCGGAGTGGTTGGAGGGTAAAACGTGGATTAAGAAAACGTAAAAACAACAGACTTTTTTTGTTTAAAACAAAACGTGTTTTATATTTAATAAAATTATATACAAAAGCATTTAAAAATTTTTAATTTATGATTGAACTAAATATTATTCATTTTAAAAAGTTTTTTCCTTGATTTTAACGCTGCGAAAGACTACTATTTCATCAAAAGAAATATTGTTCATGAATTCACTTTCAATAAACAAAAGTGCAAGGGCCTTCATTTTATCCTGGCGTAAAGTGGATCTTAAAAAGTTTTTCACCCGGCCGCCCTAGAGCAGAAAAAGATCTTTCTCCGCTACAATTTGTGCACTCCCTTACTTTTATTTCCGAATCGGGCTACATGATCAGCTATAAATGGGTCAAATTTACATAAAAGTTCTATGCACCCAAGAAAGTTTCCATTGTTGGTTGAACCTAAAATTTTATTCTGTCCGTAAAAAGGAAGCCCTCTGGAAGATAAAATTTTAACAACTTCTACAACCCCGAGCAACACGTTTTTCCAATACTGCACCTCTCCAGTCTCCTTGATATTGAATCTTTAATTTTGAATCAATTCTTAGGCATAAATTACTTTGTCCTAAATATTTGCGCAGACATGCTCGCCGCTCGGTCGTCGGTGCGATAAGCCCGCGACGATTACAAGAAATAGGTATATGACAAATAACGTAGGTAATATATTACAATAGTCGACAGGGCGGAAATTCGTTGCGGCGACGCGGTAACGGCACGGCAAATAGGCCGCGGAATTGAACGTGTAATAACGAAAATATTTTTTTTTTGTTTTTAAAGTATATATTATGCAAAAATTCTACATTCGTAAAAAACATGTTTGTGCCCCCCCCCCCCCCCCAATTTAACGTTGACCTATTGGCGCCCTAGGCTGTAGCCTACTTATAGCCTATTGGTTATTAATCAGGCCCTGGTCACTGTAATGTAGGGTATTAAATTTGAATTCAATGACATAATATCGTATTATATAGGTACGAAAAACGATTCTGACTTGTCAGTCTATGATATTTTATATTATATTTATATATTGTGACTAGCTGATCCCGAGCACTTCGTTGCCCGTTAAATGTTTAGATGTACCAACTCTTTATGACTCAAACATTGTTCAGTACCTACGTTATTTAATATTCAGTGTATGGTGTTCAAAACTTATCTTAACTTTTCCGTTGCCCGGAATAAAAATTCAGTAGATCGCCGACCACATACTGTTTGTACGTAAGTGTATAGGTTTAACATATCAAAGTTTATAAAAGCTATACCAAATTTGAAGTTTTTACTTAATTCCACCTACGGTACGATTTATATAATAAATTAATACAAAATCCTAACCCAACCCTACTAAAATCCGATGAATAAAAAAAAAACAAATGTAACCCTTTTTAAATTAGCCTATCTTCTACCCAGAGGATAATAATAATAATAACCCCTCGTTGGCATCGCTGCAAATAAGGCATAATATGTAATTAATTTCATCTTCAACTATATTGTTCCTAAGCTCATCCTCTTGGCTCTTGGCACCATGGATTTGTGGAGCGGCCAAGGTTTGATTTCCTCTCGATGGACATTATAAAACAATACATTTTGACCAATAAACAAAAATTATACAAATTTACGTGAAACATTGTTTTAAATTTTCAATCCTTAGCTATAAAAGTAGTACATTTTACACATTTTAAACATAAAATCATTTTTTAATTTTTAATTTGATAAATGTTGCCAAAATTCAAGCTTTAAATGCTTATAAAAAAATTTTGCATAATATGTATTTTTAATATTTTTCAACTGCTATCGTAGCAATATACCAGGAGCCTTGTATTAAATATTCGCACTTATGGCCCAACAAAAAAATTTTTATTGACATCTGGAGAAAAAAAAACTAAATAAATTGAAAACCAAAATCGATTTTAACAAAAACCCGTTTTGCCTAAAAATTCCTGTTTTTCTTTAACTTTTATGTAGTTTTTCCCGGCGCTTTTGAAAACTATTGGGAATTTTAAATTTTGACCTACCAAATGCACTAACTATATCCTCTATCGGATCCTCTATTTCAAATGAGATCACGAGTCGGCGGAGGAGTTGTGCGCTTGGGGCGTCGCTTTGTTCCGTGGCAGCGTCTCGCCATATGTCTGACCGCCGCCCGACAAAAACTCGTCGCCGCCGACTCATGATCTTATTTGGAATACAGTATAGATTCACTTTCCCATAAAATAAAATACTGTTGAAGAAAATCGAAGCAGTTTTACTGCCCCAAATGATGGTGAAATAAAAATAAAAAAATTATTAATAAAAAAAACACACATCGTCGTAAAATCAATACATCAGAATCTAAAATGCAAAACAAAAATGAGTTATACAAATTTGTTTGATTAAACACATTTTAAGCTTGGAAAACATCGTCTATGTTCGAAAAAAAAAATTAAATCATCAACATCCAGATCTTATTTATAACATCCATCGAAAGCTTTGAAACCCTCAATAATGCCTCTAT